ACTCCCTCGAGCACGCGACCGCTGCAAGAGGAGGCTTCCGGAGCCGGGCATCGGGATTCCGCCCCGCGTGTTCGTGGACTGACCAGGCTTCTTGTCCCAGGCGAATGCTTTTATTCTACTGCTTGGTGTGGCCTTGCTGCACGTTTTGCCTTTTTGTGGCTCCTTTCTCTGCCTGACAGTCGTTATCAACCGATACCATTATGCCACAGAAACACACACGCGCGCGTACACACACAGACACAGACACACACAACACACACACACACACACACATATATATATATATATATATATATATATATATATATATATATATATATATATATATATATATATATATGCATATATATATATATATATATATATATATATATATATATATATATATATATATATATATATATATATATATATATATATATATATATATATATATATATATATATATATATATATATATATATATATATATATATATATATATATATATATATATATATATATATATATATATATATATATATATATATATATATATATATATATATATATATATATATATATATATATATATATATATATATATATATATATATATATATATATATATATATATATATATATATATATATATATATATATATATATATATATATATATATATATATATATATATATATATATATATATATATATATATATATATATATATATATATATATATATATATATATATATATATATATATATATATATATATATATATATATATATATATATATATATATATATATATATATATATATATATATATATATATATATATATATATATATATATATATATATATATATATATATATATATATATATATATATATATATATATATATATATATATATATATATATATATATATATATATATATATATATATATATATATATATATATATATATATATATATATATATATATATATATATATATATATATATATATATATATATATATATATATATATATATATATATATATATATATATATATATATATAATATATATATATATATATATATATATATATATATATATATATATATATATATATATATATATATATATATATATATATATATATATATGTATGTATATATATATATATATATATATATATATATATATATATATATATATATATATGTATATATATATATATATATATATATATATATATATATATATATATATATATATATATATATATATATATATATATATATATATATATATATATATATATATATGTATGTATATATATATATATATATATATATATATATATATATATATATATATATATATATATATATATATATATATATATATATATATATATATATATATATATATATATATATATATATATATATATATATATATATATATATATATATATATATATATATATATATATATATATATATATATATATATATATATATATATATATATATATATATATATATATATATATATATATATATATATATATATATATATATATATATATATATATATATATATATATATATATATATATATATATATATATATATATATATATATATATATATATATATATATATATATATATATATATATATATATATGCATATATGAATGAGGAAAACACTCTACCGTGTTGATACAATTTTGACTTGAACAGCGGCTTTTCTCCCGCCGACAGCCTCCTCGCTTCATACATCCTCCGCCTTCTCCCGTACGCCGACCATCCTGCACACAATCCGCCCGACCCTCCGACCTGATCTGACCTCCCTTCACTTCCTTCCGTCTGTCCTCACCTGCCCCGTGTCACCGCGTTCCCTGTCCTCTCTCCCTCTTATACCCCTTCCTCTCCCTTTCCTCTTCAGACCTGAGGATGGAATCCAGGTGGATTCCGAAACTGTCGTCTCACTTTCATTTTCAATAAATCTAGTTTTTACATTGTGGGTTTTTCTACCATATGGCATATATATATATATATATATATATATATATATATATATATATATATATATATATATATATATATATATATATATTATGACAGAATTATCTGCGCTTTGCAGATAATTCGCTTCACTGGTAAATGTATCAAGAGCCACCATTAGGGTTTGCAGACTCAGATAGAGTAGGAACACTGTCAACAAAGTCGAAGTCGGTAACCTTGATATTGCCCAGAGTTGCCCCACAGTGACTTTGTACATTATCTCTGCCCATTATCCAGTTCAGGCGAGTGTTGAAAAATGTTAGTGCTAGAACACCGCCTTGCCTCACTCCTGAACTAACAGGGAAGAATCTCGACAGGCCCCCACCACACTTTACAGCACTTTCGGTACTATATACAGGCTTGCTATTAATCCAACAATCCTTGATGGAATCCTTCTTAGTCTCAGGATCTCCCAGAGCGATTTGTGATGCATGGTATCAAATGCCTTCTTGACGTCGATGTAACCTTCAAGCAGCCCATGCCCACACTCACAACGGCGCTTTATAAAGACTCTAAGCGCCAGGATATGGTCTCTTGTGGACTTACCAGATGTGAATCCAGATTGCTCCAGCCTCTGGTGCCTCAGCAAGTGGTGTCTGGCGTCTCAGGAAGGATGAGAGCAAGAACCTAACCTGGCATATTGAGCAGTGCAATGCCTCCGTGATTGCTGCACCTCTCAGCAGGTCAGGGGAATACTACCAGTCTGCCAGGACAGCATGCAAGCCCCTTGCTATAGGTTCACCACCAGCCTTTAACAGTTCAGCTGGGATGCCGCAGATGCCCACTGCTTTAACACTCTTCAGCTTGGAGATCACCTCAGTAACTTCAGTTGGAGGATGGATCCCACTGATGGGTGGGTCCGACAAAAGAATCTCGACACTACCCACATCCAAATTATCTGTTGGTGGATTAACCTGGTACAACTGCTTAAAATACTCGGCCCAGCACTCCCGAACTCCAACAGGATCCAAGACATTCTGGCCACTTACTGAGCAGACTGCAGTCGCCTGTGAGAAGGGCCTGGAATTCAGCTTTCTCATGGCTTGGTAGGCAGGACGAATGTTATTTACTAAGAAATGGCCTTTGACCTCCTCTGCACTGACTGGGTACTGTAAACAAGGGTTACAATCCCCTGTCAAACAAGCCATGTAACAAGCATTTGTGGCTTCCAGTGTCTCTTGCAAGACAAAATTTTGCCTTGCTCTTGGGTGTTCGCCAATCGTCCCACAGTGATATCCTCATCAAACCCCTCCCCCTCCCTCAACCTGTCCACATGCAACACCCTAGGGTGACTGGACTGACAGGGAGTTTTAAAGTGGACTTGGAGGGTAGCCACAACTAATCTATGATCAGTACCACAGAACTTGGCACTCAGATATACCCTGCACTTCTGGATCCTCCAATGAGTGCTTATGAGGATGTGGTTGATCTCCTTGGCCACATTACCTGCATTGTTATCCAACAATGTGGGTATGAGTGCTAGTACCAAAAACCAGAACTCTCAGTCCCAGAGAAGAAGGCTATATTTAGTACTGGCACCAGCTCCTGAGCCATGAGGACTGAGAGACATATCATAGCCAGCTCAATTGCAACCAGATACCACACTGAAGCCACCCAGAACAATGCAAATATCTCATTGAGGACAGCTATCAGTAAAACATCTCTTTCACACCAAGTTTACAAACATCAGTAAGAGCAATAACAGACATGAAGCCAAATGTAAGCTTCAATCTCAGTGCCATTATACACTCATTGAACTAGAGTTGCCTCTACTACCAAGGGTTGAAGTCTGCTGGAGATGGTTATGGCTACTCCCTGAAGATGGTCATCATCGCTGCAACCCAACCAGTAATGAGTGTAGCCATGCATACTGATCATGCCGCTACCAGATCTTCTTATAATACTAGAGGTGATACCATTCTTTACTTTTTCTTGTCCATTTTTCAAGTGAGTCACAGTGAGCTTGCCGACACATGGATATTAGAGAGGGATCTCCTAGAAGAATAATACTTTGAATCCCTCTTGAAGACAACGGAGAACATCCAGACCAGTCAAGGCCCACAAAAAAGAAAATGGGGAGCTCCAGTGATACTGAAGAGTAAGGCATCTATTTGGACATCAGGAAGCTGTATACTTTAGGAGGAGCAAGTTTTGGAATGGGTTGATTCAGATCTCTAGTGGTGAAAAGTACTAGCTTTTGAATAATTTTTCCTGAATTTCTCTTGAATGCACTGACCTACCTGTTTACATGTGGTAAAGGATGCAGGCTTCTCCCTTTTTAAACTGCAGAGGGTGCTGGCCTCATGGCAATTCATTGACAGGTGCAGACTCTTAACTTAACAAACTGAGCAAAGTCCCTTCCTTATTTGCCAAATAAAGGAAGATGTCTGCTAACAGAAGGAAGATTTGACATTATGACTGTGAATCTATAGGAATAGATAACTTACATAATTTAATTTCTACAACCAGATATTCAAAGGTTCTACTATCTTATATATATCAAGAAAACAAATGACTTCATGGTATTCCTAAGGTTAATAGCTGATTGTTCATCTGGTAAAAAAAAAACTTCCTTGTTTAAAATGCACATAACAAACATTTTATGCAGCTATTCCATACTATCATTGTTATCTAAAAAAAAAAAAAAAAAAAAAAAAAAAAAAAAAAAAAAAAAAAAAAAAATCATTTACACAATGTATTCCATCACACAGAGCATCAAGCCACTGATGCCATAATGAATGGTCTTTTCCGGGCTTTGAAGATAGGTATTTAATGATAGGAATAACAAAACCATCTCACTGTCTCTTGTACCTCTTGGAGATTTTGTAGACAATGGAAAAAACATTTAATTTGTATAAACTAACATGGTCTTACATATTCCACTAATCTTCCTCCATCTAGCACTTGTTCAACATAGTGACCAAAGAGTTTGGATAAATCATTACTAACAAAGTTTCATTACTTTTTATTTTCATCCTATACATTAAAGTTGTAAAATCACAGCATATTCAAACAAAACATTTTAAAAATTCTTGCACTTGTATAAATCACCACTACCAAGACCAGAGGCAGTTTTACATATATGTACACCAATCTTTGTACATTTTACTGTATGGGCAGGCTGGTGGGTGGGTGGATGTGCATGTGGAGTGTGTGTTTGTTCCTTGTTTGGCTTGGTTTGTGTTTACCATTGAAAATAAGTCTTAGGTATCTACAACAGGAGGAGGCGTATATCTGTGCCCTCACAAGTCCATACCTGAAAGTGGTTCCTGTCTATTTATACGGACTTGCTGTTATTTACAGTTTGGCAGCTGCCAAGATAACAAACATTTTTTTAATACTGTACTTACTGGAAAATTTTGTAATAAAACTATGATGCATAGATATGACCACAAAACTAGTGTTTTCTTGGTTATTATCTAACATTCTTTATTATTACTATTATCAAACATACTTTTAAAGATATTTTTCAGCCATTGAAAAGTTGTTAACCAATACATAAAAAAAAAAAAAAAAAAAATTAACAAGGTTACATTACTTTACACTACTATAATGTGAACAAATTATTGTATAACTTAAAATCACATATCTGTACTCGGGATGAGTGAAAATTCAAATGAAAGAGCAAAAAGGCATACCACAAAAATTATAATAACCATATTCAATTGTACGAATTACAATAACATAAATCTCTGATTAGCGTGGTAACCTGATTTTACTCCATAAATCTGGCATTTTATCCCTTTTTCCCTTTTTGATTATCATATCTATCAGAGGGGAAGTAAACTAACAAGATTAAATACATCAATATTACTAATTTCTAATCAATAAATACATACTCTCATTTTCATTCCCTTGTTGCTGAATTTAGAACTCGCATTCTCATGTGAATCAACTGTTTTAACCCCAACAACTCCATTACTGCCTGACCTTGAGAATAATGTACAAAAAAGACTTACTATTTCATAGTAATCATAGATCTAAATGCCAATGTCCAGTTATCTTCCAGGAATAACTGCAGTAAACAGTAAACTTTGGCAACTGTGAGGACTCCCGACTAAGCGACTTGCAATCAGCGTGACCAGTGATCAATATGATCAAGGAATCAGAGGGCCCTTGAAGTCTGAGGTCCGAAGTCTCAGGAACCGACAACAAGCGTCATCTGGATTCAGTATCATTCAACCATGAAGATGTTGCTGAAGTGAGAGGAGCACATCCTGTTCACTTCATCTGAAACCCCAATAAGAATTCATTAAATTTGTGAACCAACTGTTTCCTGGATAAGGGTGATTATGCTCAAGAATATATCTAACACAAAGGTCAAGATACTAGCTATTCATAACTAAGAGTGCATGACAGCTAAACCTGGTAATAAGGTTAACTGGATTAGAGACCAATTAATAGAGGAATAACATCTACAAAACTACACATTGTACACAAGCTTGTGAAGTACGCAGTACAAGAATAAAATCGATAAAACAACCCCCATATTACCTGTAACTTCTACCAAGTTGGCATTTTTGTGACTCACGACAACATAAAATTCCCGTCCGTCTCCACATCGACCCACCACCCAGTGATCTTGGGAGGTTTTGACCACCAACTCTCCACTATTACACCTATAATGAAAAACAGAATCAGTTGTAAGACATAAAGGAAAAATGTGGGAAATGTGTCTCCCAAAATGAAAAGCATCAAAACACCATTTTGTTAAGAGGACACTTAATCCATAACATAGATAAGTCTAGAACTTCAGGGGGATTCAGAACATGAAAGAAAACAAGGCTTTAATCTGATCACACAAAGATATGAAAAATTTGAAGGTAAAACGACTTCTGGTGTCTTCTGTCATGTTTATGATAATGATGTATAATAAGGACAAAGAAGCAAGACTAAATCAATTTTATTAAGGAAATGGTATTTACTTACCCTGGGTAACAGTCATACCTAAGTGTTACAACTGTTGTATGGTTTAAGATGATATTAGTAAGAACTTATAATGATAATGATAATAATAATAATCATAATAATAATAATAATAATAATAATAATAATAATAACAATAATAATAATAACAAAAAAAAAATAATAATAAATAATAGCGATAGCAATAGCAATAACAATAACAAAACAACAACAATAATAATAAAAAATAATGGCAATAACAATAATAAAAGTAATACTAAAAATAATAGTAAAAATAATAATAATAAAAAAAAATAATAAACAATAATAATAATAGCAATAACAATAACAATAATAATAATAAACACATACCAAGTAATCTATCCATACATAAGCGAAAGTAAAAGTGAAATTAAAAGGCAACAATACACAAGATGGAAGCAAAAATAAAGGGACAGTCTCTGTAAAATAAACAGGGACCATTATTCTGGAAGTGAAAGAGAGGAAAAAAGAAAAAGAAAGAGAGAGAGAGGGAAAGATAGAAATACATAAATAAATAAATAAATAAAGAAAGAAAGAATGAAAGATAGAAAAAGAAAAAGAGGGAAAAAAGAAGGAAACCAGAAAACTCAAAAATAAAAAGCCTTAGACAAGAAAATGGGAGACAGACAGAAATAACTGAATTATTTTGTCTGCTTTCGTAACTGCCTCCTCCGTTCAGAATCAGACCAGGTCACCAAACGAATCTTTTTATTTCGACTGTCAACATCATCAATTTACATTCTTGGACAATATCTTCAACTTACTTTTTAATGTCTGTGTGCATGTCAGCTATCGTCCGCATAACCTCCACAGGCACGGACAGGCTGGTGCCGTGGACTGTGGTTTTTGTTGCAAGGTTCATGTGATTGTGATAGACATAGCGGAAGTTGCCACTGCTTCCGCTGTCTGAGGTGGTCCCACTGCTGGACTTTTTGTTGATTTGTTCCCCGATATCACTGGCTAACTGTGAAACTTTGGCTTCTAAAACTCTGTCGATCTTTTCATATAATGACGGAGTTAATTTCTCGCTATCTGTATGGAAAGTGGAAAGAATTCACAATAAGTATGGAGAAGTAAAATACCATTGTCTACCCTACAATCTCTGGACAAAATAATCCAGTGAGAATAAAATGAGTTATATATTTTTCTATAAATCTACACAGATGTTTGTTCTGCAATGCTAGTGCGCAAAATCTATTTTGTGAAGAATCTTCCTTTAACAGACATACTTCCATCACCAAAGGCTATGAAAAATATCAATTATCTACCTAAGGGTTAAGCTTTGTTTTGATACTAGTTACAAGACATGGGACTTAACCTCTTCCTGGCGGGCCACGCCTATAGCATAGCCATCATGATAAACTGACTCATCATGATGAGTATGGCTATAGCAACAGCAAGTCAAGCATGAAGTTCTGCCAAACGTAGCGGACTCCAGGTCAAAACGGCAGGACGGTTGCCAGAAGTCACTGGAGTCAGTGACATGAGAGATTTCTGATACCGCCACTGAGGGGTCAAGTCTTTTGACTATGTGATATAATACTAATCAGGCACACAAAATGTTTGACATTACATAACTCCCCTTTAAACTATCTTCCCGATGAAGTGTGTTTCTTCATAAAGACTATAAGTAATATCAACAATAACCAAAAACATAATTCATAAGATAACAATAACAGAGATAGAAACTAAAATAATGACAAAGCTTTGAGACATGAAGATACCTGGTAAAGTGAGGCAGACGGCAGCTCCTGCTAGGGTGTACACTAACAAATGATATGGCTTGAGGTCTCCACTCTCGTTGTGTGCGTGAATCTGGATGCTGGGAGTTACACCTATGCCAACGAACCTAAGACATCGAAGCGAGAAAATAAATCACTTAAGATTTCATTCTTTTCACTTCACTTATAAATTTAGTTCAAGACTGAAGATTGACAACTGGGGAAATATAATTTAGGATGACTTAAACCACAAGATCTAAGTAATATCAAAGAGGGTGGTTGATAAACGACTTTTAAGTTTAATACTTAGTTTAGCAAAGAAAAATTATTACAGTAAAGTTTAAGTTGGGCAAAATTTTGTGAGGAGGAGGAAAAGAAAGAAAGAAGGAAAAAAACAAGTAATGTACACAAAATTATTTCACAATTACTAAACAGCCAACAAATAAATCATGCCGACATATATTTACATTACATCAGTATCATTATGCTTTGATTTATATGTTTCACAAACAAGGAAATATGATAATACAGTTATAAGTTCAAATTTCCGATTTCATTTTCTCAAAGACTGTGTTATTTACAGCAGAAGAAAGAAAACAGAAGGGAGAATGAGAATAAAAATAAGAATAAAAAGGAAAGCAATACGAAAAGTGGAACCCCGTTTATCCAAAAGAAAGAAAGAAGTCCTGTTAAGTAATTCAGCTTCTTTTTCATTCCCCATCGCCCTTTGGCAGCAGAATAAATTATTCTTTGAAATGTATATCGTGTGATAATTAGAGTGTGACTGAACAAGGAAATATGTTACTGATGATATCATAATGCATAGTTAATATCACAATCAGGCACTATTAGGACAAGTTTGTTAGTGATCAGGCTATTGAAAATCATGCATCTATACTTTAGTTTCATATATAATTGTAGAACTCCTACTTGATGTTTTGGCTGAGCCACTGAACACAAATCATTTTCAGTATCTATAACTTTTTGTCCTGTAATTCATATCTTAATTACACACCTCCTCTGACTCATCATAAAACATGAAAATTCCTGAACAAAACCCAAGATTCACTTAAAAACATCAAGATTTTAAAAGCAGAACACAAATGAAAAACTAATCTGCAATACTCTATATAATAAATACCAAATACCATATATCTTCTACAGAATAACCACAAGATATAACAGTATCTACACATTTAAACACCATGCATGAGCACACACACAAACAAACTCACTAGTATGGTAAAGTAATTCACAAAAGAATGATATATCTTATATGCC